CATGTTATTAGATTTTTAACAAAAATTAAATTTGTACCAAGGGGGTGTTTTACAGCAAAATCAGAGTACAGACAGTTTTTGCTTAAAATTATAAAGAATATAATCAATAATTATGAATTACAAAATTATAATAGCCTATTTGAAACATTTTGTTAGCTGATGCTAATTGGCTAGCTAACTAGCTACCTGATGCTAACTTGAGGTAATTTTTAAATATAAAATCCAAATATTTTTATTCAACCAACTAGTTAGAATACATTTGATGGAAAAACAAAGGATTTGATGTTCACAACAGAATAACTACAGTAATTGCCCATTGCCCACTGGGGGCATTTTACCCCACAGACTGTTTGAAAAAAAAATGTATGTCATTCTGAAAATATAATTATATTTTTATTACATAACACGTACTCCCTATCTACATGCCCTACTGTTCTCATATCATATATAACTGTAATGTTCTACAAAACAACAAGCTTTAAAACACGTTTTTTCTTACTGCTGAAAATTAGATCATTTACGGTGAAATCCGTTTTCTCTTCAGTACATCACCAGTGTAAGCTTCATGGTGAAAACTTCTACATCACTCTCGTCAACGTAGTCCATAGTTACAATAAAAATGTATCTTGACTTTATCTTGTGGTTATTTTAGGAGAAACAGTAAGGGGGGTGGGCGTTTTCCCCCACTCTACCCTCTCTCTCTCTCTCTCGCTCTCTCTCTCTCTCTCTCTCTATATATATATATATATATATTCAATTGATATTTAAACCATTTGCACAATAAATATGGATCACCATTTACCCTATATTGTCAACCAGCACTATAATCCCTAGGGGTGCTCCGATCAGGGTTTTTGAGGCCGATCACCGATCACAGAAAGCAGTATCTGCCGATACCGATCTTTTTAAAGCCTTCTTTTTTATCATTTATAACTATATATAGTGATACTCCAATCAGGATTTTTAGACATTTATTCAGGGCATTTCATTTTTGAAAATGGGGGGAATTCCCCTCTTCGGTGAGTCTTGTGAGAGGGGAAGCAGCACGGACTGTGCTTTCACACAAGAGTCCGCTATTGCAGCAATAGACTTGGTATGGAAACGACCTCTGCACTGCTGCAGACGCGCCGCTCCTGGAACGCACTGCCGGACCGCAACCGTGTGCAGTGTGCACGCTTTATTAATCCGTTAACATGAGCG